GCATGTTTAATTAAACTAGATGTTTAATTTGGTTTAAATTATGAAAAGGGAATTTTATTATGGTTCATACAATATTTATTGATGTTATAAGCATGGGAAAGGAGCTATTTAAGTGTCTATGTACACGAGAATTTAAATTATATTTTGGTGCCTAAGTGCACTTAAGGTGTTCCAAACACCGAGGGATAGGAATTGAGGAGCATTATGCGCTTAAGGTGTTATTTAACGCCGAGGTACATTAAAAAGGGTTCAACATTAAATTAAATGTGATCACTAATTATTCAAGAATTAAATTGGTATGTTTGATTGCTTGATTTATGATGATTGATTGTCATGGATTGAGAGTAATTACCAAGTCTAAAATATGTAAATAACGTAAAGTGAAAGAGATTACGCACCAAAACTCTTGGAACGTATATACCTTGAGTATGAACATATGGGGGGAGTTATGCGACTTCATATTTGACCATAACTTCTACTGGGAGTACAGGACGCTGTATTTTCCTTTTTATTATTATACGCAGGAATTCCGCTGAAAGGAATGGTGTCCTTCCAACAAGTGTATTATTCTGATTGAGGGTTTAGAATTATCAGGAAGCTAATTCTTCAGTGAGATCAAGTGATCGGAATGCCTGGGTGGAGGCCGCTTCCGATCTGTAATATTAGTGAACAATTAATATTACCGCTTTGTCTTGACTGAACCCTTCGGGTCGAACCCAAACGAACTGCCGATCCGAACAGACGAATCAATCCAAAGGATTTGATGAGTCACTAGAGTATTATGAACACAGACGTTGATATCGAGCCTAGGGCGTCGAGATCGAGCGTCGCAAAATCAACAAGCAACAAGTTCGAGCGTAGCCGTAGCATCGCATTGGCCTAGCCATGTGGACGCTAGGCTAGCTCGAGATAGCATGCACTGTGCATGGCTAGGCGCAAGCCTAGAGGCACCATGTGTGCTAGGCGCACCGTCGCTAGCACTTGGCGTACATGGCAGCACCATCGGTAGCACTAGGTGCTTGCATGTGTGCGTGCCTCGCATGGCAGCACCATCGTAGCACCCTGCGTGCTTGCGTGTGTGTGCGTGCCTCGCATGGCAACAACATGCGTGCTAGCTTGCGTGCGTGCCTTCGCATGGCAGCACCAAGCAGCAGTAGCAGCAGCACGCTGTGCTAGCCGTGCATGTGTGCATATGTGCGCATGCCCTTCGCATAGCTGCATGCTTGTGTGCGTGCCTTCACATGGAAGCACCAAGCACAGCGAGCTAGGAGCAGTACCAGGCAGCAATTAGCAACAGCGAGGGGCCTCGCCCGGCACAGTAGCATGCGTGGCTCGCTAGTAGCACGCATGCGCTGGCTGGGGGCTGATGCGTGCTAGTTGTGCGTGCTGGCAGTGCATGCTGGCCAGCAAGGATGGCAGCCAGCTCACTCCCTTTGCTTGGTGCCGGTTTGTGAGAGGTGGGGACCAATGCTTGGAGCATACCTTGGGGAGCAAGGCAATTGTCCCCCATGGTCATGGTCCTCACCTAACCTCTCCTCTCCTCATGCCACTTGTTGATTTGTAATTGCATTGTTTTATAATTCATTTTGGAATTAAATAAATTAGTGAAAAATGCAATTATCCCACATTGATCATGAAATGGGGATACAAGTTGCCATTCCCTATAAATACCCCATTATTGGGCATTTGGTAATACAACTTGAGTGGAACTCAAAAAGGCATCTCTATTATTGAGAAAACCTTTAAGTTCGTAAAACTCTAGTTTTATACTTGTTCAAGTCTCGACTAACCCTCGAGGCGAAGATCGTTCGGGTCGGGTCGTGGGTACGAGCCGTTGGAGGCCGTCACGCTTGTGAGGCTTTAAGCTTCGAAGTAAGAGCTCGATTTGCGAGGGAAGCACGGTTAAGGGTATTACTTCTTTATTCCTTTGCTTAATTATTGTTTAATTATGTTTATGCATGCTTTATTGCTTTAATTATTGGGGTAGGTCTTGGGCAGGTTTCTCTTCCGCATAGCGTTGGACGCTACGAAACCCAACAGCGGTATGGCGGTATCGGAGCTGCGCTCTTTTTAATTATTGCAATTTTTAATTAATTAAGGTGATTTAAAATGGATTTAAATTTCTGGTTGTGTTTTCTAATTGGATTAGAAGCTCGTTTTAATTAATTTTAAAACTCATATTTTTCTTATTTTGGCTGTCGAACCCAAATTTTGACTCAAAAATAGTGATTTTTGGGTGGAATCAATTTTCTAAATCGTTTCTGATTCTTTTAGGGTTGTCCAGATGCCAAAATCCACCCTGAAATATGTTTTTCGAGGGGTTTTTCGTTTTTGACGAAAATTTTTAAATCTTTATGCCTTGATTAATTTATGCATGTTAAGGGTAGATTAAATGTATGGTTGCATCCCTAATCTACTGCAATTATAAACCCTTTTAAGCATGGTTATGAAGTCATAATGTGTGCTTAAGTTGGTATGTTCAATTTTTCACATAAACTTGTTATTTCACAATCATGCAAATAAATTGCATTAAAGTGTGAATGTTTATTGTGAATGTGAAATTTTAAGTTCCTTGTACATTAAAGATCCAATCTTTAAGTGTTTAAATGGTTGGAACTTTGATTCTAAATTCCATGGTTGAACTAATTTGTGGATTTAATCATTATTGTGTTGATTAAAGTCTTTAAAGCTCAAGTACTTGTGATTAAATCTTGATTAATCTTCATATTGGAAGATGTAATTTTGTTATTTTACACAAGTTAAAAGTTGAAAAAAAAAAAATTCATTGGATGATTGGTTTTATTTTCCAACTCCCTACTTTGTCAAAATCATTATTAATTTGCATATTGGTCAAATTAAATTTGGGTGTAGCCCTTCAATTTTAAGCATCAAAGAAAGACCTAAATTATTTCAAAAGGGTAATTTTAGATGATTTAGGCTTGTGTACCATTAAAATTGAATTTAATTAAGTTGGACTTATTTTAATTTCAGTTTTTCCCTATATTCATTCTAAAATAAATTTAGAATTGATTTTATGTCACACTTAATTCGGGATTAATATCCTGAGAAACGACACGCAAATCGAGGCAAAAACACCCAAGCGTCCCAAGGCTAGCCGGGCTTCCTAGCAGCCCGCATGTGGCTGCCTTGATACGCACAATGGTGCTTAAGCCTCGACGTGTTGCTGTGCAGTGTGGCGAGGGACTGCTGTTGCGTGCTGCCTACGGCTGTGTGCGTGGCATTAGGCTGCTGGAAAGCTTGTGCGTGCTGCTGGGCAGCGGGGCAGCAAGCCCCAGCCAGCCAGCCCACTGCTACCAGCGCCAGCGAGCAGCTAGCATGTGTAGCGTGCTGCTGGTGCTAGCTAGCAAGGAATGCTGCGCTAGGCGAGCTTGCTAGCAGCCAGCACCACACGCAACGCATGGGCTGCCTAGCAGCCATGGTGCGCAACCCTTGCTTTTGTTGGTGGGCTGTTTTGCTTGATTTGGGGCTATCGTCTTTTGTAAAATTTTGTCGTTTTAATTTTATTTAAAAATTTTAACGAGGTTAGACCTCGATTTTTCCGGCTCTTGCAAAATTTTAATTTTGACAAAATTTGGGTTTAACGGCTTTATTAATTAGATTAATTAAGTTGGATGCGGAATTTAGTGGGAGCTTGATTAATTTTGTGAACAAATTGCGCCTTAATAAACATAATATAATTAAACAACTTTGACTAATTTTAATTAGGCGTGTTAATCGAATTAACACCTAAGTTAGTTACTAGTCTTCGCGTGTTGTGCATTATTACTTGTTTTTCATCGTAAAACGCATGGGCCATTCACATATAGTGAATGGGTGAATGAAAGCTTGTTTCACAGGTTTCGTGAAGAATGGCAACTAGTGGGGCCCGATTAGGATAGAAAATACGGACTGCGTTCCGTTACGTATTTTTGTAAATCTAATTAAATACGGTCTGCGTACCGTTAAGTATTTTTGTACCTTAATATTTAGATTAATCCTAGTCGTAGTAGCTAGTAATTTTATTTTGGCGAAGATGTCTCAAGACGGCGTTTCGATGAAGACGTGCCAAGATGAAGACCCTTGAAGATTTGAAGATTTCAAGGGGTCATGCTAGTTGCCAAATGCATCTATATTATGCTTCATATATATTATTTTGCTTATATATATTTGAATGTTAGATGCATGTCTAGGATTTCAAATGTTGCGATGATTAGTTAAGTTCACTTAAATCAACCAACATAGAATTCCTAGGTCCCTTAAAATATTGAGCTAAAATATGCCGTTCCAAAAACAACACTTACCGAACTAATGCGCGTACGTGATGGGCTACGCCAAAGCGAGACATCACTACTTCCCTAGGAACGTAAGGTATACTAGGTATACGAGTTGATCTTGGTTAAGCTCAACGATATTAGTAAGGAGTCCTTAGATGTCGTGGCAAAAGAGATAAAATGTCAAGAAGGCATTAGATGCGACTAGACGAAAAAGCTAATTTGGCACCAGTTCAAATCCCCCCTAAGGCACCGGTTTTGAACCGTTGGGGATTTGAGGGATGCCAAATCCCCAAAAATTTGGCACCGGTTCAAAACCGGTGCCAACTAAAGCATTTGGCACCGGTTAACCGGTGCCAACTTCAATGGCGCCAGTTTTTTTTTTTTTTATTAAATTCAATGTAATAAGCACCGGTTTTGAGCTTGAACCGATGCCTTTGACCTTTTTTTTTTCGGCAATAATATATATTAATATTAATACTAATAAATATAATAATAATGAGATCATGTACATAATACAGATAATTAATAATAATAATTATTATTATTATTATTTATTTTAATAATAATAATAATTATTATTATAATATTAATATTAATATTAATATTAATATTAGTAATAATAATTATTATTATAATATTAATAATAATTAGTATTATTAATATATTAATAATAATAATTGAAAATAATAAAAATGCAAGGACATAAATATTGATAACAATCCCAAAATATGATATTAATTAGAAAAATGTGTCATAACTACAAACAAACATAATTAATTAGTAATAATGTAGTACAATAAGATAGTTAAAACAGAAATAAATGATGTTTACAAATTAAATGTGATGTAGACCGCCAACATGTCTCGAATTACATTGAGTTCCTTGCTCGTGAACGGATTTCCCGTTTGTCCCTTGCAAAACTTGGGATACATACACAAAACGTAAGTTAGTAGGAGTGAACTCATAAATAGTCATAACATGTCTTTATCACTTATTTATAGAAGTTCAAGGCTTGAAATTACAAGAAAATAGCAATTAAGGGGTTATGGAACGCATTTTCCACCATAATGGCCCGAGTAAGGCCATTTTGACTACTAACATGCCTATTTCCTACATTTCTTGTCAAGTGAACTCATAATTAGTCATAACATGTCTTTATCACTTATTTATAGATGACTAAGGTTTGAAATTACAAGAAAACAGCAATTAAGGGGTTTTAGAACGCTTTTTCAACCAAAATGGCCCGAGTAAGGCCATTTTGAATACTAGGTTGTCTATTTCCTATATTTCTTGTCTAGTGAACTCATAAACAGTAATAACATATCTTTATAACTTATTTATAGATGGCCAAGGCTTGAATTTACAAGAAAATAGCAATTAAGGAGTTTTGGAACGCAATTTCTACCAAAAAGGCCCGAGTAAGGCCATTATGACTACTAGGATGCCTATTTCCTACATTTCTTGTCTAGTGAACTCATAAATAGATTTTACTCGGCACAACCTAACGATACATCCAATACCTATGACCTGTGCTTAGTCATAAAATGTCTTTATCACTTATTTACAGATGGCCAAGGCTTGAAATTACAAGAAAATAGCAATTAATGGGTTTTAGAACGCATTTTCAACCAAAATGGCCCGAGTAAGGCCATTTTGACTACTAGGATGCCTATTTACTACATTTCTTGTGAAGTGAACTCATAATTAGTCATAACATGTCTTTATCACTTATTTATAGGTGTACAATGCTTGAAATTACAAGAAAATAGCAATTAAGGGGTTTTAGAACGCAATTTCAACCAAAATGGCCCGAGTAAGGCCAATTTGACTACTAGGATGCCTATTTCCTACATTTCTTGTCAAGAGAACTCATAAATAGTCAAAACATGTCTTTATTACTTATTTATAGGTGGCCAAGACTAGAAATTACAAGAAAATAGCAATTAAGGGGTTTTAGAACGCTTTTTCAACCAAAATGGCCCGAGTAAGGCCATTTTGACTACTAGCATGCCTATTTCCTACATTTCTTGTCAAGTGAACTCATAATTATTCATAACATGTCTTTATCACTTAATTATAGGTGGCCAAGGCTTTAAATTACAAGAAAATAACAATTAAGGGGTTTTAGAACACTTTTTTTTATAACCAAAATGGCCCGAGTAAGGTCATTTTGACTACTAGGATACCTATTTCCTACATTTCTTGTCAAGTGAAGTCATAATTAGTTATAACATGTCTTTATCACTTAGTTATTGGTGAATAAGGCTTGAAATTACAAGAAAATAGCAATTAAGGGGTTTTAGAACGCATTTTCAACCAAAATGGCCCGAGTAAGGCCATTTTGACTACTAGGATGCCTATTTACTACATTTCTTGTGAAGTGAACTCATAATTAGTCATAACATGTCTTTATCACTTATTTATAGGTGTACAATGCTTGAAATTACAAGAAAATAGCAATTAAGGGGTTTTAGAACGCAATTTCAACCAAAATGGCCCGAGTAAGGCCATTTTGACTACTAGGATGCCTATCTCCTACATTTCTTGTCTAGTGAACTCATAAATAGTCATAACATGTCTTTATCACTTATTTATAGGTGGCGAAGGCTTGAAATTACAAGAAAATAGCAATTAAGGGGTTTTAGAACGATTTTTCAACCAAAATGGCCCGAGTAAGGCCATTTTGACTACTAGGATGCCTATTTCCTACATTTCTGGCCAAGTTAACTCATAAATAGGAATAACATGTCTTTATCACTTATTTATAGATGGCGAAGGCTTGAAATTACATAAAAATAGCAATTAAGTGGATTTAGAACATATTTTCAACCAAAATGGCCCGAGTAAGGATATTTTGAATACAAGGATGCCTATTTCCTACATTTCTTGTCTAGTGAACTCATAATTAGTTATAACATGTCTTTATCATTTATCTATAGGTGGCCGAGGCTTGAAATTACAAGAAAATAGCAATTTAGAGGTTTTAGAACGCAATTTCAACCAAAATAACCCGAGTAAGGCCATTTTGACTACTAGGATGCCTATTTCCTACATTTCTTGTCTAGTGAACTCATAATTAGTCATAACATGTCTTTATCACTTATTTATAGGTGGCCAAGACTTGAAATTACAAGAATATAGCAATTAAGGGGTTTTAGAACGCTTTTTAAACCAAAATGGCCCGAGTAAGGCCATTTTGACTACTAGCATGCCTATTTCCTACATTTCTTGTCAAGTGAACTCATAATTAGTCATAACATGCCTTTATCACTTATTTATAGGTGGCCAAGGCTTGAAATTACAAGAAAATAGCAATTAAGGGGTTTTACAACGCTTTTTCAACCAAAATGGCCCGAGTAAGGCCATTTTGACTACTAGGATGCCTATTTCCTACATTTCTGGTCAAGTTAACTCATAAATAGGAATAACATGTCTTTGTCACTTATTTATAGATGGCGAAGGCTTGAAATTACATGAAAATAGCAATTAAGTGGATTTAGAACGCATTTTCAACCAAAATGGCACGAGTAAGGATATTTTGAATACAAGGATGCCTATTTCCTACATTTCTTGTCTAGTGAACTCATAATTAGTCATAACATGTCTTTATCACTTATTTATAGGTGGCCAAGGCTTGAAATTACAAGAAAATAGCAATAAAGGGGTTTTAGAACGCAAATCAACCAAAACGGCCCGAGTAAGGCCATTTTGACTACTAGGATGCCTATTTCCTACATTCTTGTCTAGTGAACTCATAAATAGTCATAACATGTCTTTATCACTTATTTATAGGTGGCCAAGGCTTGAAATTACAAGAAAATAGCAATTAAGGGGTTTTAGAACGCTTTTTCAACCAAAATGGCCAGAGTAAGGCCATTTTGCCTACTAGCAAGCCTATTTCCTACATTTCTTGTCAAGTGAACTCATAATTAGTCATAACATGTCTTTATCTCTTATTTTTAGGTGGCCAAGACATGAAATTACAAAAAAATAGCAATTAAGGGGTTTTAAAACGCTTTTTCAACCAAAATGGCACGAGTAAGGTCATTTTGACTACTAGGACGCCTATTTTCTATATTTCCTATCAAGTTAACTCATAAATAGGAATCACATGTCTTTATAACTTATTTATAGATGGAGAAGGCTTGAAATTACATGAAAATAGCAATTAAGTGGTTTTAGAACGCATTTTCAACCAAAACGGCCCGAGTAAGGCCATTTTGACTACTAGGATGCATATTTCCTACATTTCTTGTCTAGTGAACTCATAAATAGTCATAATATGTCTTTATCACTTATTTATAGGTGGCCAAGGCTTGAAATTACAAGAAAATAGCAATTAAGGGGTTTTAGAACGCTTTTTCAACCAAAATGGCCCGAGTAAGGCCATTTTGCCTACTAGCATGCCTATTTCCTACATTTCTTGTCAAGTGAACTCATAATTAATCATAAAATATCTTTATCACTTATTTATAGGTGGCCAATACATGAAATTACAAGAAAATAGCATATAAGGGGTTTTAGAACGCTTTATCAACCACAATGGCACGAGTAAGGTCATTTTGACTACTAGGATGCCTATTTTCTACATTTCCTGTCAAGTTAACTCATAAATAGGAATAACATGTCTTTATCACTCATTTATACATGGAGAAGGCTTGAAATTACATGAAAATAACAATTAAGTGGTTTTAGAACGCATTTTCAACCAAAATGGCCCGACTAAGGCCATTTTGAATACTAGGATGCCTATTTCCCACATTTCTTGTCTAGTGAACTCATAAACAGTCATAAAATGTCTTCATCACTTATATATAGATGGCCAAGGCTTGAAATCACAAGAAAATAGCAAGTAAGGGGTTTTAGAACGCTTTTTCAACCAAAATGGCCCGAGTAAAGCCATTTTGAATACTAGGATGCCTTTTTCCTACGTTTCTTGTCTAGTGAACTCTTAAACAGTCATAACATGTCTTTATAATTTATTTATAGATTGACAAGGCTTGAAATTACAAGAAAATAGCAATTGAGGGGTTTTAGAACGCTTTTTCAACCAAAATGGCCCGAGTAAGGCCGTTTTGCCTAGTAGCACGCCTATTTCCTACATTTCTTGTCAAGTGAACTCATAATTAGTCATAACATGTCTTTATCACTTATTTATAGAAGGTCAAGGTTTGAAATTATAAGAAATAGCAATTAAGGGGTTTTAGAACGCATTTTCAACCAAAATGGCCCGAGTAAGGATATTTTGAATACAAGGATGCCTATTTCCTACATTTCTTGTCTAGTGAATTCATAATTAGTGATAAAATGTCTTTATCACTTATTTATAGGTGGCCAAGGCTTGAAATTACAAGAAAATAGCAATTAAGGGGTTTTAGAACGCAATTTCAACCAAAACGGCCCGAGTAAGGCCATTTTGAATACTAGGATGCCTATTTCCCACATTTCTTGTCTAGTGAACTCATAAACAGTCATAACATGTCTTTATCACTTATTTTTAGATGGCCAAGGCTTGAAATTACAAGAAAATAGCAATTAAGGGGTTTTAGAACGCTTTTTCAACCAAAATGGCTCGAGTAAAGCCATTTTGAATACTAGGATGCCTTTTTCCTACGTTTCTTGTCTAGTGAACTCTTAAACAGTCATAACATGTCTTTATAACTTATTTATAGATTGAAAAGGCTTGAAATTACAAGAAAATAGCAATTACAGAGTTTTTGAACGCAATTTCAACCAAAATGGCTCGAGTAAGGCCATTTTGACTACTAGGATGCCTATTTCCTACACTTTTTTTCTAGTGTACTCATAAATAGTCATAAAATGTCTTTATCACTTATTTATAGGTATAAAAGGCTTGAAATTACAAGAAAATAGCAATTAAGGGGTTTTAGAACGCTTTTTCAACCAAAATGGCCCGAGTAAGGCCATTTTGCCTACTAGCATGCCTATTTCCTACATTTCTTGTCAAGTGAACTCATAATTAGTCATAACATGTCTTTATCACTTATTTATAGGTGGCCAAGACTTGAAATTACAAGAAAAAAGCAATTAAGGGGTTTAGAACGCAATTTCAACCAAAATGGCCCGAGTAAGGCCATTTTGACTATTAGCATGCCTATTTCCTACATTTCTTGTCAAGTGAACTCATAATTAGTCATAACATGTCTTTATCACTTATTTATAGGTGGCCAAGACTTGAAATTACAAGAAAATTGCAATTAAGGGGTTTTAGAACGCTTTTTCAACCAAAATGGCCCGAGTAAGGTCATTTTGACTACTAGGATGCCTATTTTCTACATTTCTTGTCCAGTTAACTCATAAATAGGAATAACATGTCTTTATCACTTATTTATAGATGGAGAAGGCTTGAAATTACATGAAAATAGCAATTATGTGGTTCTAGAACGCATTTTCAACCAAAATGGCCCGAGTAAGGATATTTTGAATACAAGGATGCCTATTTCCTACATTTCTTGTCTAGTGAACTCATAATTAGTCATAACATGTCTTTATCACTTATTTATAGGTGGCCAAGGCTTGAAATTACAAGAAAATAGCAATTAATGGGTTTTAGAACGCATTTTCAACCACAAAGGCCCGAGAAAAGCCATTTTGATTACTAGGATGCCTATTTCCTACATTTCTTTTCTAGTGAACTCATAAATAGGCATAACATGTCTTTATCACTTATTTATATATGGCCAAGGCTTGAAATCACAAGAAAATAGCAATTAAGTGGTTTTAGAACGCATTTTTTAACCAAAATGGCCCGAGTAAGGCCATTTTGAATACCAGGATGCCTATTTCCTACATTTCTTGTGTAGTGAACTCATAAACAGTCATAACATGTCTTTATCACTTATTTATAGATGGACAAGGCTTGAAATCACAAGAAAATAGCAATTACGGAGTTTTGGAACGCAATTTCAAACAAAATAGCCAGAGTAAGGCCATTATGACTACTAGGATGCCTATTTCCTACATTTCTTGTCTAGTGAACTAATAAATAGTCATAAAATGTCTTTATCACTTATTTATAGATGGCCAAGGCTTGAAATTACAAGAAAATAGCAATTAATGGGTTTTAGAACGCATTTTCAACCAAAATGGCCCGAGTAAGGCCATTTTGACTACTCGGATGCCTATTTACTACATTTCTTGTCACGTAAACTCATAATTAGTCATAACATGTCTTTATCACTTATTTATAGGTTTAAAATGCTTGAAATTACAAGAAAATAGCAATGAAGAGGTTTTAGAACACTTTTCCAACCAAAATGGCCTGAGTAAAACCATTTTGAATACTAGGATGCCTATTTCCTACATTTCTTGTCTAGTGAAATCATAAACAGTCATAAAATGTCTTTATCACTTATTTATAGATGGCCAAGGGTTGAAACTACAATAAAATAGCAATTAAATGGTTTTAGAACGCATTTTCAACCAAAATGGCCCGAGTAAAGCCATTTTGAATACTAGGATCCCTTTTTCCTACATTTCTTGTCTAGTGAACTCTTAAACAGTCATAACATGTCTTTATAACTTATTTATAGTTGGACAAGGCTTGAAATTTCAAGAATATAGCAATTACGGAGTTTTAGAACGCAATTTCAACCAAAATGGCTCGAGTAAGGCCATTTTGACTACTAGGATGCCTATTTCCTACATTTTTTGTCTAGTGAACTCATAAATAGTCATAACATGTCTTTATCACTTATTTATAGAAGTTCAAGGCTTGAAATTACAAGAAAATAGCAATTAAGGGGTTATGGAACGCATTTTCCACCATAATGGCCCGAGTAAGGCCATTTTGACTACTAACATGCCTATTTCCTACATTTCTTGTCAAGTGAACTCATAATTAGTCATAATATGTCTTTATCACTTATTTATAGATGGCTAAGGTTTTAAATTACAAGAAAACAGCAATTAAGGGGTTTTAGAACGCTTTTTCAACCAAAATGGCCCGAGTAAGGCCATTTTGAATACTAGGTTGTCTATTTCCTATATTTCTTGTCTAGTGAACTCATAAACAGTAATAACATATCTTTATAACTTATTTATAGATGGCCAAGGCTTGAATTTACAAGAAAATAGCAATTAAGGAGTTTTGGAACGCAATTTCTACCAAAAAGGCCCGAGTAAGGCCATTTTGACTACTAGCATGTCTATTTCCTACATTTCTTGTCTTGTGTACTCATAATTAGTCATAACATGTCTTTATCACTTATTTATAGTTGGCTAAGGCTTAAAATTACAAGAAAAGAGCAATTAAGGCGTTTTGGAACGCAATTATAACCAAACTGGCATACCTCTTCAAGCTGTTGTGTGTCTGTACAATGACTCACTATGTCAAATATGAATCTCATCACGTATAGGCCACAATCAACTTCGTTATCTTGTTGTGCGGACTAGCATGAGGAATAAAGTACATGAATCAAACATACATAGAAAATTAGCAGCGTCTTACGCATTGTATATTACGAAAATCACAATATCATGTGGCATTACCATCGGTGATTTCCATGTAGGAGCTCGAGAATTTATCTTTTTCATAACACTACATAGAAAGTAAGTTCAAATTTGATTAGTATAATTAATATATATGAGTTAGGTGATAATCAATAACAAGAATTGAAGCTATGTATATTTACTTTTGCAGTATGGATTTCACGAGGCGCTTTCTTGGTTGAGGTAACCGAGCAGAATCAAAGAAGAAGATTGTGTTACTGGAAACACAAATCACCAGTAGGGTCCAATGATAACTACATACATACATTCACACGAGACAAAAAAATCAATAATTAGGCAAGTACAACATATAAACTGGGAAAACAAATGAATTTGACAAGCATAATCTGACGTACTCCTCATAATATGGGGCAAATATAAACATGTCTCCCGCACGCACTGATTCCTTGATACCCCGTTCAACATAGTACAACACGTCAGCGTGGTTGCCTAAGATTCTAGCAGTGGAGATCTTCTCAGGGCATAACCACCCAATTTGACATGGAGAACCAAGCTCCCATAAGTGCTCCTAGAGTGCTCTGCATGTATGATAATAGAATGTTAATCGAAAACCAACCGACAATCACCACTAAAATGAATAACATAAATTGAGTACTAGTTGAATTACCTGATGCATATTTGAATGAGAAAAATGTTAAGCATTGCACCACTTAGAAATTCCTTCACATCTTCTTTGAATAGCCATGCCATTGCATCATCATCGTAGTGGAACATTTCCTTAGGTAGTGGAACTTGAATGGGGCTGTCACTAGGCAACACGCAAACACGGTTGTGCAGATAAGTTAACTCCTTAGAGAGCGATTGAAGCACCGTGTCTTTAACTAGTGGAGTAGCTTGCATAGCTAAACCTCGTGAAGAGCTCTTGTTCGACGCTTTTCTACTCACCGAGCCATGTTCACTCCTCTTCTTTGGCATCGGTTGATCAATGCTTTTTAGCCCCTCCACCCTCTTCTTTGGAGTATGGCTTTTCCTCGATGGCTAATAAGACAAATCACACAAATGGTTAGAAAAGAATTTCATCCAACTCTTGGGATGAAAATCGGGTATAGAGTAAAGCGTGAACTTTAAATCTTAATTACCTGGCTCACCAACCGTATCCAAGCACATGGCCATTGCACAAAACTACCTTTTGCCGCCCAAAGGTGTAGTAAACTCATCCTCCTCTACGGGCACAGGTAGATATCCTCGAACCCGGCAACCACAGAATGGATCCCGACCGAATAATGCTCAGGTCGAAGCGGTCGCAAATGGACCGTACCTTGTTCGGCCGGTTGTGCACTACTATATGCAACGACATTTAAAGCTCCACTAAGCGATTCGCCCGGGTGAAGAATTTCACAACGGGTCTCTTCCTGCACCAATTTGGAATATCACTTGTAAGAAGCAAGTAAAACAAAAAAAAAGGGAAGAGCAAAACAGGCATGAAAAACAGAACAATAGCAACAGCGGAACAGCTGCACAGCTGCTGCCTGCACAGCTGCTGCACAGCTCACAGGCAGGCAGCACAGTTCATCAGGTAGTCAGCATAGCTCACAGGCAGCACAACACAAGAGCAGTGAGCTCATAGCACACACACAACTCACAGCAGGCAGCAGGCAGACACAGCTCACAGCACAGACACGGCTCACAGCACAGACACAACTCACAGCTCCACAAAAACAGTAGACACAACTCACACCACAGAAACAGCAGCAACACAGCACGCTCACAGCATAACTCACAACATCACAGCAGGCAGACGGCAGCATTAGATCAACCATGAAAGCAAGCAGGCAACAAGCACAAAAAAAGCATGACAGAAACAACATGACAGCACAGAAACACGACAACAATAGCACAAAAATAGCACAGAAACAACACAGAAACAACACAGAAACTGGTCTTTACAAGAACGAATAAACACGAAACAAACGAAGAAACGAAGAACATTTACAGCACATAAAACCGCAAACTTCATCCAATATAAAGAAACAACACAACAAACTTCACAAATTCACAGCAGAATCAAAGAACCAATATCACCATCCAAAGAAATAACTAAACAACTCACCTGTAGAACTGGAAAGTCATGAGGTGTTGGATTTTCAAGCTCCCTCAAGTACGCATGTGCAGGATTACTAACCTGCAACAGTGTATTGATAGTGCGAGGCTAATTAGAACCCACGTAACTCAAAAAAGTCAAAACTTATACATTAGAAACCATTTGATCATGTACCTCCTCGTCTGCATGTATCTCATCTTCTCCTTGTTTCGTGGGTGACTAGAAGAGTCGACCAGTGTAGCCGAGGAGAAAGGCAAGCTCGACAAGTTTATTTGCTTTGCCCATGCATTAAACTCTTCTCGCATCTCGTTGCGCACTTGTTCCTTAATTGATGCCACCGTGGCATCCAAGTTGACCGGTGAGTTCACACTTGCCCGGGATCTCCCTAATTTGGTATAATCCGGACCCATCACCTTCTCCCATCCTAGCTAGCTCCCCTCCGCACCCAATACGCGTCCTGGATGGTAGGGCTTTCCCAAAGCCAAAGTGAAAGGGTCCTTCTCCATTGTTGGGACGAGCTTGCCTTCAACATGCTCTTCAGTGTACTCAAGCTGTAGCAAAAACAAAAAGGCAACATCAAGTTATTGTCTATGTAAAGTGATATATATATGAAAAAGATTCATGTTGTTCACAAGTCATAGTTGCTTACAAGTTTATCTGCCATTTCTTTCGTTTCCGGAGCCTTGATGGACCATTTTCCGGTTTTCTTGTCACGAGAATGCAAAGAACAAAAGAAATCTTCGGCATGACTCACCAAAGTACTGGTCGTGGAGTCAGAGGGCACTGTGGAGGACCCTAGAAGCGCAGTGGGGTATACTCCTTCACTCACCTACGTCTCCCTCCATTCATCAAACGTCATACACCCCATACGATGGTAGTATTGCTTCTGCAATGCATTCTTGGAATTCTGCTCCCTTATTTCCTACATAATTAGACATATTAGTTTCAAAACTACCAAAATATTAAATATATTATACAATTGTCATCAGAGTTACTTGAACTTACAATTCCTTCTTTTTTGCTTTTTTGAAGAACGAAAGCATCCCAATTTTCCTTTGATACGCTAGGTCATATTTGCCATGGGAGTTTCTCTTCATCGATTACTTCATCATCATTGCCACCTCCTTTCTTGTTCTTTGGTTTTCTCACAAGTTTCTTTGTGATAAACCGACGAACTAAGGTGGTCTTGAAGCCTCTGAATCTTGCCGCAAGTAAGGATTCAAACACCCTTCGCTTGGCGTACTCATTTGGAATGTTAAATAGACTCTGCAAGCACAAATAACAGTCATTATTAGTTTTCCCATTTAATAACAATAAATTGAAGGAATTTGTAAATGTGCAAAAAAAAAACACTTGCCCTAGTATCATTCCAAAACGTGTCAATCAAGCTTGTAGGTACTTCGCTCAAACGAAGAGTAATGGGAATTTTGCGCGCACAAATCCCAACTTGAACAGCATACTGACAACGCCATTGCCTGTAGGTTTGCCTACCCTGTCATACTCCAGGACCATTGGATCGAGAGGTTTCTTGAAGCTTGTCGTCGGACCCCTTGTTCGCTGGTGCCTTTACCCCCCTCCACTAGGATTCTAATCAAACGACTCAGACATTGCATTTTCGATAGGAGACGCTTGTTCAGCTGCAATTTCAAACTCATCAAGCATACGATCCAAAACATCTTGAGCTTGATCTTCTGCCTCACCCAAATTAGGCTCCTTGTTCACATCATACAACTCGTCCCCATCCCTAGATGAATCATCATCATCATCCTCTACATCCTCCACTCCAATACGGTAGTGATCATCCGCCATGAGATGTAAAACCTGTCATTACAAACATAACACGTTATTAGTTGTAATATAAATAAATTTGTAAGGTAAACTTATAATCAAATATAAATTGCTGAATTATAACACAAATTAACATAGAAAATGCGGAACTAAGTTACTTCATTCATTTAAAAGAAAATACGAAAAATGGGCAAGTAAGTTAACAATTTCATTCATTTTCACCTAAAAATGTGATTTAATAACACTTTCGACACCTACAATTTCAAACTAACAAAAAATAGTACCTCAATCTAATATTCCTTCGTCGTGGTCTGATCGCATGTAATTGGCTTGGTCGTCTATCTCATTTGGTACAACAGGTCTAGGAACAGTGAAAGGTGTCAAGTCATCAAACGCATCATATTCTTCCTCATCCTCGACATCTCCAACACCAAGGATTCTTCTTTTGCCGGCTAGCACAATAGACCAGTTTAAGTTGGCTGGGTCACTTACATAAAACACTTGCTTGGCTTGAGATGCAAGGATGAATGGTTCAGCACTATCATTCAGGTGGCCAAGATCTACAAGAGTAAAGTCATCATGTTTGACGTTACGCCTGATATTATCAACCCACTTACACCGGAAAAGAGCAATCATGAAGTCACAATAATCAAGCTCCCATATTTCTTGAATTCGACCGTAGTATGACAACTCTGCATCAACAGGTGATTTATCCTTAGCACTTGCAAACTCCCTTGACAATGCCACAAGCGTTACACCACTGTTTTGGGTAGAGGATGATTTTAAATCCTGACACTCAGTCCAAAATGTGTACCCATTTATGTCATATCCCTCAAATGAGCGAACGTCATCCCTAGGACCATAAGCAAGCCACCTTACTATATCTGTGACACTCTCATACTTTCCACCCATCACTCAATCACGAAACCAACTCACAAACTTCTTATTATGCAGCTGCATCAGTGCCCGTTCACCTTTCGATGGAAATTCATTACGCAAACTAGCCATGTGCTCGTCTAAATATGGGTGAACATCCGCAACATGGTGCAACACATATAGGTGCGCTTGTAAGAACTTATCTCGATCAGGTGACATTCGTTTCGACCCGATTGTGCCATGACCATCAAGTCTCCCTTCGTGTCGAGAAGTAGGAATACCAATACAACGACTATATAGTCGGCCACAAAATTACCGACCTCCTCAGCTGTTGATAATTTAGAGTGTCAAAGGAGCGCTCGCTCTTCTGAATCGCGCTCTCGCCAGCTAGGCGCGACCCGCGACAAAATCGCGCATTAACCGCGATGAGTTTCTGGAAATTCTGGAAAAGTTTGGAGGCGCGCCCGCGCCTCTGGTTGGCGCACCCGCGTCATGGCATGGCGCGACCCGCGCCTAAACCGCGCTAAAATCGCGCTAACTTTCTGGAAATTCGAAGATTTTAGGCAAAGAAGGAGGCGCGCCCGCGCGAGCTGGTGGCACGCCCGCGTGGGCAGGTGGCACGCTCGCGCCCCATGGTGGCGCGCCCGCGCCTCTTAGCTCGCGCCCGCGCTTCTTAGCTCGCGCCCGCGCTTCTTGCCGTTTTGCGGTTTTATACGACGGTTGATTCTATTTTATAAAAAAGGAGTTTCTTTTCGTAAGATAGACAGAACTTTTCTCTGTGATTATCCCTAAGTAATTTCTCCATTTTTCTCTCAAAAAACTTGCAATCTCTTGTGAGAAATCTTCTTGATTTTAGTCTTTCTTGTGAATTATTCATCATCAATTTGTTTCTTAGTGCAAAGAACAATTGGGCTGACTTTTGTATCTCAAAGAGTATTTCCGGATCAAACCCAAGCACCTTTGTGGGGGAAATTAAACTCTTTAGGAATGTATTCATACGCCTAAGTCAGTGTGTCAAGGATTGAGACTCAAGTGGTCACCGGTTTTCTCATGTTCATGTTGGATGTAATAGCTTGGAGTAGAGGCAAGTAAAATATCTTTCACAACTAGTGGTTTCATTGTGTTTTTCTGTATTACTTTGATAAATTGGTGTTTGGTTGTAATACATTGAATTGTATTTGGATTTTTGTATAATTCGTTATCAATTATACATAGTTAGGTTTTGTTCCCACAATTGTTATAGTAGTTCTTGTTTTAGAATTACTTGAAAACCTAAAAATCTAAAGAGTTTAATCGTTTAGATGTAATCAAGCATGTCTAGTGTGAAAGAATTGACCACAAATTTTGTCAAACTCAAGAAGTTTGACGGTGTGGAGTTTCGGAGATGGAAGAAGAAGATGTACTTTCTTCTTACATCTTTGAAAGTAGCCTATGTTATTAGTACTCCAAGACCTACCTAACATGAGAAAGAATCCTTGGAAAATGTTCGGGAATTGTCAAAATGGGACAACGATGACTTTATTTGTCGTGGTCATATTTTGAATGGTATGGAGGATGATCTTTTTGATGTTTATCAAAATGTGGAGTCGGCTAAGGAGCTTTGGGAGTCCTTAGAAGGCAAATATATGGCTGAAGATGCTTCAAGTAAGAAGTTTTTAGTAAGTAATTTCAATAATTTTAAGTTTGTTGATGGTCGGTCCATAATGGACCAATTTCATGAATTACAACGAATCTATGGGAACTTGAAACAACATGGTATTTCTATGGATGAATTGTTTGTAGTTTCAAGTATAATTGACAAGTTGCCTGCTAGTTGGAAAAGTGTTAAGCATGAGCTTAAACACAAGAAAGAGGACATGTCTTTGTCCGAGTTGGCCACCCATCTTCAAGTTGAAGAAGGGATAAGAGCCATGGAAAGTGCTAAGGATGGGAATCCTAGCTCATCTACCATTAATTTGGTAGAGGAAGGAAAAACTGGTGCTTCCACTAGTGGAAAGAGGAAGAATAATACCTCTTTCAAGAAAAAGTCCAAGAAGCAAGCAAACAATACCAAGTTTGCTTGTTGGGAATGCGGTAAATTTGGACACCGCAAGAAGGACTGTTTTTCCTTTAAGAAAAGGATGGAGAAAGCCAAGGAGGGCCATGCTAGCACTAGCAAGGAACAACCCACCAAAGGTAATCCAATTCATGAGGTTGAATTTAATTCCAGTTTGGATTTAAATGCAACGGATCCTAACATTTTTATGGTGCAGGATGATGACTCATGGTGGATTGATTCGGGGGCTTCAAGGCATGTATGCAAGATGAGGCATTGGTTCAAAACCTTTCACAAGGTTGGTGATGGAGAAAATCTCTTTATGGGGAACAATTCAACCATCAAGGTCCTTGGTAGAGGACAAGTAAAACTAATGTTTAGTTCGGGGAATGCAATCATTCTTAGGGATGTGTTGTATGCTCCGGATATTAGTAGGAATCTTGTATCGGGGCCTTCCTTGAATAGTCTTGGCTATAAACTAGTGTTTGAAGCTAATAGGTGTATAATTACTAGAGGAACAAATTTCATAGGTCGTTGTTATTTATGTAATGAATTATTTAAGCTTTCTTTGAAAGACATGTATGGTTTTAATGATGTTTGTTTGAATGTTGATGCAAGTGATAATCATGTTGATTTAAGTTTATTTGACTTGTGGCATTCTAGATTAGGACATGTGAATTATAATAAAATGTTGTTTATGTCCAAACAAGAATTGATTCCATGTTGTGATATTTCTCCGAATAAGTGTTCTACTTGCATGTTGAACAAGATCACTAGAACTCCATTTAAGAGAGTTGAGAGAAGTTCTAACATTTTAGAACTAATCCATAGTGACTTGTGTGATTTTCATAGTACGCCTTCTTTGGGGAACAAAAGATACATGGTAACTTTTATAGATGATTATTCTAGGTTTTGTTACGTGTATCTTTTGCATTCCAAAGATGAAGCTTTAACCAAGTTTGATATTTATAAAAGGGAAGTAGAATTGCAAGTAGATTCATTTATTAAGAGAATTAGAACTGATAAGGGAGGGGAATACTATGATCCAAGTTATTTCCAATCTTTGGGTATAATTCATGAGACTACAGCTGGTTATGCACCACAATCAAATGGTGTAGCTGAAAGGAAAAACAAAACTCTTGAAGAAATGGTTAATTCCATGTTGTCTTACTCAGGTTTGAGTGAAGGGTTCTAGGGTGAAGCAATGTTGACATCATGTCACATTCTTAACCGAGTTCTTACAAAGGGAAAAGAATCTACTCCTTATGAACTTTGGTACAAAAGAAAGCCAAACTTGAAGTATCTCAAAGTTTGGGGTTGTAGGGCGATCGTAAGAGTGCCCGGCAACAAGAAAAGAAAGCTCGGTGAAAGAGGCTTGGATTGCATATTTATAGGGTATGTTGAGCATAGAAAAAACCTATAGGTTCTATGTAATAGAACAAAATGACTATATATCTGTTCATTCAGTTATAGAGTCAAGAGATGCAATTTTTGATGAAAACCGATTTTCATCAATGAGTA